CCAGGCACTGCTCTTTGGAGAAGGGGCTGTCGCAGAGCAGTGAGGTCTTGGGCAGTGGGCATAGGAGCTCCCTGCTGCTCCCTCCTGCCCCTGGGGCTCTGAGCACAGACCGGCTTTGAGGACAGACGCCCACAGGCTCTGGAGGTGCCTTTCCCCAGATCCTGGCAGCTCTGGCTTCTCTCAGCCCTGCTGTTGGAGGCCTGTGCCGTGTTGGGTCCTGGCTGCCAGCAGATGGTGGTGGGCCGGCCACGGCTGCCCATGGCCCCACACCGCCTGCTCGCCCAGCCAGCTGCCTGCGGCACCGGGGCGGCCATCCCTCCCCCTCCTCCTGCCACCACACACGAGGAATGTCTCCCCGTGGTGACGAATCCAGCTGAATCCGGGCGCAGGCTGCGATGCAGTCAGTCACCAAGGGAGATTGTACCACGTGCATCCCCGCAGCCACGGGGAACGGGCACCAGGGCTTCCCTGCTAGGTCCCCTGCAGCTCCCCAGCCTTGGTCCCGCTCCGCAGGGGCTCTGGCAGTGCCTGGGTGGGATGGAAAGCACCCCTTGGACATGGCCCTGTGCAGATCCACTTGCAAAGGGGTGCCTGACTGCCCCCAAGGGATGCACTAGGGGTTCACAGTGCTCCCCAGCAGGGAGGCAGGCATGGCACCCTTGGGTGCAGCTGATGAGAGAGCTGCAGCCAGCAGAGCCCAGAGCAGGGTTGATGCTGGTGGATGTCCCCGAGCTGGCTTGTGAGCCCATGGCCCCAGGGCCATGCCCCAGGGCTGGCAGCCTGACCTGGGAGCAGCCCAGTCCTGGCCCAGCCTGGCACTGCCCTCCCACTGCTGATCATTAACCACACTTAATCGGGTGGTGGGTTCAAGGACCCACGCAGGGACTGTTGTCTTTTTGGGCCTACTGGGAGCAGCCGGGGTTGGCCCCTCCCCCCAGCCGCTGCAATGGCCCTGAATCTCAGCAGAGCCCTGTACTTGGCAGTTGTCCCTGTCCCTGCTGTCCCCTCTTAGCGTTGCTTCCCCAAAAGATCAGCCGGACTCGCTGTGCATCTCTGGGGAGGGTGAGGGATGTGCCAGCCTGTGCTGGCGGTCAGTGCCTGGTGTGGGTAGTGCTGGCAGAGGGCACGTGCCTGGGGACACCAGCCCAGGCCACCTGCAAAGCACTTCAAGGATGGTGCCAGCTTGGGAAGTCAGAGGCGGGTGCTTGGGCCCAGCTCATGCTGAGGGGTCCCTGGGATGGGTGCAGAGCATGCTGGATACGTGCAGGGCAGCACCAGGGCAGGGAGGGACTGATCCAGCCCCAGTGCTGGCCCCATCCCATTCACCCTGATGGGCCCTGGTACATCGCAGCTGATGTCCCGGCGCATTTATGGCCCTATCTGGAAGTCAACCTTCGGGCATTACGAGAACATCAACATCGGGAGCCCAGTGGTGCTGGAGCAGCTGCTACGGCAGGAGGGCAAGTACCCC